ATGACATTAACCAGTAACAAACGATGCTAAGTGCTCATTGATGTTTGTCTTACACAAGTTAACATGATAACCACATAGATAATGGTTCTCCTTCTTATCTTTAGATACGATATTAACCAGTAACAAACGATGCTAAGTGCTCACTGATGTTTGTCTTACACAAGTTAACATGATAACCACATAGATAATGGTTCTCCTTCTTATCTTTAGCTACGATATTAACCAGTAACAAACGATGCTAAGTGCTCACTGATGTTTGTCTTACACAAGTTAACATGATAACCACATAGATAATGATTCTCCTTCTTATCTTCAGATACGATATTAACCAGTAACAAACGATGCTAAGTGCTCACTGACGTTTGTCTTACACAAGGTAACATGATAACCACATAGATAATGATTCTCCTTCTTATCTTTAGATAAGATATTAACTAGTAACAAAGGATGCTAAGTGCTCACTGATGTTTGTCTTACATAAGTTAACATGATAACTACATAGATAATGGTTCTCCTTCTTATCTTTAGATAAGATATTAACCAGTAACAAACGATACTAAGTGCTCGATGACGTTTGTCTTACATAAGTTTCCTTTTTATTATCTATATTTTTGTGTTCCAGCAATACCAAGCATGGGGCGCGCGTATACCCGATTCGAATATATTACTCATCAGGATCTCTACCAGATACTGTCAAATCGAAGTTGTTTTAGGCAGGATTAGAGTATATTAATGTATGAGACCATAGGCGTGGTCAAATACATCTGTCGAAAGGATTTGACCCCTTGAGTCCAAAATTGTAATTATATCTCAAGTCGGTCGAAAGATGACGAAACTATGAGCTAAAAATGTGTACTTGAGAAACTCAGAGCCATACCATGAGCCACTATGCCGTGGCTAAAAATTGTAGAGAGAGAGAGAGATAACGGTTACTTTATTCAGGGATGAGCATGACCTAATGGTTAGCTTGCGAGTTACAGCCTGAACAAGGTTCGAGCAGCGACATGCTGTTTAAAATGTTTCTGTTTCAGCTGTGATGGTTTTGTAATTGCTATAGGCAAACTTACTTGGTTAAGATACTTTGTCTCATAAGATGCCGTTAAGGTTGAGAATACGAAATGCTCTAAAGCTGTATAATACTCAAACGATGTACTTACATAATAACTATGAAATGTCCGTGATTCCCTATATTATGTTTTAAACTTACAACATACCGATACAAATCGCATTCGTAACGCCATTTGTCCCATACGGTATCGCAGACGAGAAGTCTGCAAGCATATTTTTCAGTTGTAATTAGAAGAAATTACAGATTGGAAATGTTCAAACATTTCTGGTGTTTTAGGAGTAAAGAAACCAGATAAGTTTATTTTTAATTCACATCTCTGCTAGACAGAACTGTATTTGGAAACGTGAGATTAAGTTCAAATAAAATAGAACGAAAAGCAAAAACATCACGTTTTCAACAAACAGTTTTATTCACTGGAGTTCGCCGAGAAACTAATAAAATTGATTATTTTTAGGATCATCTTCAGAGGTAAGAGCAGCTACGTGTTTGCGTGCTCGTTTCAGAAAGCTATAACCAAGGTGGCTGGTTTTTAAGCTATTGAAATAATAAATCTACGTTTGAATTTTCGGCAAAGCTTATTTCAAGTCAGTCTTGAATTTCTCTACTGTGGCATGACTAATATTTTCAAGAATTGTGTTATTTATGGACGAATGAGTGAAATCCTAATCCAGACAACGTTTTATCAAAATTTCTAAAAACTACATACTGTTACATAACAGCAAATGAAATGGAAAAGATAAAACAATTTACCAAGTATTGCAGTTAGGAAATATTCGAAAGATATTGGCTGAATACTGTGCTATTAAATAATAAATAATGCAAAGCACCATTTAACAACCAATCAACAACTGGTCTCTTTTCCACGTGGCAAAGTTCGTAGTTGTTGATTGGTTGTTAAATGGTGTATTACTTTATTTTCCATTTGAAAAGATCGAGATACATTTTCAGTTTCTTCTGAAACAGGTTATTTCAACATCAACAAATATAAATACCAGGTCTAAAATTTTTTGACACTAACCAGTACGCAAATTACTGTAGTATGATTAGATATTAAACTGAAATTTAATGTAGGTGGCACAGTTGTGACATTCTGTATATCGGGGCACAAGATATCATTCATTTATTTCAGCTTTAGAATATAATGGAACGGAAGACAATGATTTATTCCAATTCACATTGTAATTTAAGTCTGAATAATATAATCCAGTTTTACACGTTTTTTCTACTCAACGCTGTTCTAACAATTTTACTGAATCACCTACTTCTCAACTATATAACTTGTCATTTGTAACACAGGAAAACTTTTATATGTAGAGAAGTGGGTTTAGGTTTCTATTTGATTAGTCATTGCTGTGAATTTTCGAGTAAATTTATAATACATAGTCGCTCCATTTAGTTCGGCATGGACTGTTCTGTAATTTATTTTCACAAACAAAAACGATACTTATAATATATTTTTTTTATTCTTTCCAGGAGATTTAAATACTCCAGCGATTAGTCCAACCCTTGCCATCATAATTGGTGTTGTTGGAACAATTGTTGTTTTAGCTATTGCCATATTAATTTTTACAAGATGCCACCGAAGGCGAAACAGTACAGGTACGTCTTACGAGGTGTTGGTTAAAGATATCTGAATGGAAAAATATGTTTATTTCTATAACGAATAATCTAGATACTCAAACTCCTTTGGCTATTCATTCTAGATGAATCATATAAATATCGAGATAACCAATATTTACTTTTTTTAGGGGTATGTTAAAGATATCGAAATGTGTTTTACTAAAGGTGTGGATTTTGGAATATGGGTTTCAATTTGATTGGTTCGTTTTCGTTGTTATTAAACAAATCTGTGCCAACTGTGGGTATCGAAACCCAATTTTTACCGTTATAAGACCTCGGACTTGTTTAAATTTCATATCAGGGGGATTTTAAAAGAGTTTCATCCTCGAGTCGCCCCCAGTGGCACGGCGGTATGTCTGCGGACTTACAACGCTATAATCCGGGTTTCGATACCCGTGGTGGTCAGAGCACAAATAGCCCTTGTGTAGCTTTGTGCATAATTAAAAACAAAACAAATCATCCTCGAGTGATAGGTTATAATCTATAAAATAGTACAGGTTCTAGTTCTTCAAAATGTATTGTGTAAAACTACATATATTTTCAATAGTTTGTTATTACTAAACAAACAGCACCCTCTTTGACTGGAATATGAAGAAAAATTAATTGTAGGTTTTCGTTTGTTTAAGAAATTAAACTTTCCTAAAGAAAATATATTTGGTTGCACGATTTATGTTTTTAAATTATCGAGTTTACATAGAGAATTAATATAGTTTTATTTCTAAAAGAGCAGTTCCTTTGATGATATCAATTGAAACAAATTTTAAAACAAAACAGTTTTCATACTGACCATTGTTTCCGTTTCACCTAACCCACTGGAGATTCATCTAACGTTATGGATTAGTTCATCTGTTATAAACACATTTTAAGTGGTACACAATTTCGTTATTGGATATTACTATTTTTTTAATTTAAAATAGCCCTACAAACATCTGTAACAAAGTAAGGAAATATACAAGGGAAATTAGTTTAAAGCCCCACGTGTAAACAAGGTATTATCAATTGTACTATATGATGAGCGGAAGGATATCTTCACTAAAGTGCAAATGGCACTGTTTGTGTGTGTGTGGTGAACCATCTACATACATCAGGAAGAAAGACAATCTTGTTTGATCCATAACGGTATACGTTTATAATACGATCTATTTCGATTCAAACTTATTCGGGCTTAAAGCAAATTCTCGCATACGAAGATTTTCAAAACACGAATATACTAAATATTTCACTTAGAAAGTGAGTAGGGTATCTGTTCGTGTCTTGATATCTCGTCATGCATTTATTCACGTATATATTTATTTTTGATTCAAGTTGAGACGCTTGACGGACCAACGAACTCAAATAACATTTTTCCATCAGAGCATGGTTGAATTAATACAGAGTATTTTACGTATTTTGTTTAAATTC